CCTAGAGCCCTGCTCCTGCAGCACTGCCCCCTGCAGCAGCTCATCTGGGAGCCCCAAACAGCAGGCCTCTGGCACAGCACCTCCCCATTACCTGTGGAAGAGGATGGATTTCACCAGGGTGACCACGTCCCGGCTCGCATTGTGCCCGGCACACACTATCGCAACGTGCAGGAGCTGCCCAGAGACAAACAGTGCCTTTTTGAGACTGGACACCTCTCCTCACAGGGGCCTGCCAGCTCTGCCCTGGTACCATGCTACAGGAAGAGACTCCATAGGCCTGTCCCTCCCCTGCAGAAGGAGCCCCAGAGAGAGGTGGGAGTTCCCCAGCTCCTGGGAACCAGGAGTCTGGCTGCCACTCCTTCCGTTCAGCCTCCCTCTCTGGAGAAAGAAGATACCTGCACTCACCAACTGTGGCCCACTGAGCACCATGGAGAGCCAAGACAAGGCCCCAGCACGGCCAGAGCATAGAGGGAGCAGTGCCACCGGGGCTGCACATACATCCATGCTCCACCAGGGTCCCAGCCTCCCACCCAACATCCCCTATCCACAATGCCACCATGCCGGTGCCACTACCCACCTCACACTTCTGCACAGTCCACTGCTTGGGGCAGGCCGTACGGTTGCTCCTTTTGCTCCTGGGGAGGTCTCCATCCTCGGCAGAGGCTCCCCACTGCGGGTTACCATTGCTGCTCTCTGCCTGAGCCTGGCTGAGCTGCAGGCGGAGCTGCTGATTCTCCTCCTCCACCCTGCGCACCCGCGAGGCCAGCGCCTCCCGCTCCGTGTCCCAACTGCTCGCCCAGGCAGGGTGGCAGCAGGAGGAAGCGACCATCTGCAGAACAGATAAGGGTATGCCATGGGCATGGCAAGACCAGGAGAGCCCTGGTGTGGATGGTGGTGCACAGCCCCAGCTGAGAAGTTCCCAGCACACCTCATAAGAACATCACAGCACTGCTCCCCTAACCCCAGAGATGTCCCTGGAGATGTCCCTGGGTCAGATGTGACTTGCATGGCCACAGAGCAATCACCCCAAGACCCACCCTCTGTGGTAGACTGTCTTTGATCTAAGGAGGAAGAGAGGAACCCACTCACATTCGACGCCGCCCACAAAGAGGTAGAGCCAGGAGAGGAGGATGGCCAGGGTCACCGTGGCGAGCAGCAGCTTCAGCTTCATGCGCCAGGAGCGCAACATGGTGTGCCAGCAGGACACAGGTGGCTAGGATCAGGTGGGCAGCCCAAGCCCAGCTGGCCCCAGCATCCTAGAGCCTGTGGGGAGCAAGAGGCAGAGAGAGGCGTCACCAGCTGCCTGCACTTAGGTCCCCCCCCGCCTGCTCCCTCCAGGACAGCCCCTGGGCAAGCACAGGAGCAAGACAGATGCTCCGGACACAGCCTTTCCCAGCGCACCCTCCTGCCCTGTGCTGGGACATTTGCCCCCCCAGACCTGTCCCACCACTCTGCCAGTGCTGCGGAGCCTACAGAGCGACCTCAGACATGGTGAGGGGTTGGGGTGGGAAGGAAATCTCCAAGCGATTTC